TGTACAGATGAACGTGGTACCTTCAGGCGTTTGGGAATTGCTTCCAAGGATGAACCAGACTTGTGGAGGTCTAAAAAAAAATGTCTGAGGCCTTGGCTGATTTTTTTTGATTTTCCCATGATGTCATGCAAAGAGGCACTGAGTTTGAAGGTAGGCCTTAAAATACATCCACAGGTACACCTCCAATTGACTCAAATGATGTAAATTAGCCTATCAGAGGCTTCTAAAGCCATGACATTATTTTCTGGAATCTTCCTAGCTGTTTAAAGGCACAGTCAACTTAGTGTATGTAAACGTCTGACCCACTGGAATTGTGATACAGTGAATTATAAGTGAAATAATCTGTCTGTAAACAATTGTTGGAAAAATTACTTGTGTCATACACAAAGTAGATGTCCTAACTGACTTGCCAAAACTATAGTTTGTTAACAAGAAATTTGTGGAGTGGTTGAAAAACGAGTTTTAATGATTCCAACCTACAGTGGGGAAAAAAAGTATTTAGTCAGCCACCAATTGTGCAAGTTCTCCCACTTAAAAAGATGAGAGAGGCCTGTAATTTTCATCATAGGTACACGTCAACTATGACAGACAAAATGAGAAAAAAAATCCAGAAAATCACATTGTAGGATTTTTAATGAATTTATTTGCAAATTATGGTGGAAAATAAGTATTTGGTCAATAACAAAAGTTTCTCAATACTTTGTTATATACCCTTTGTTGGCAATGACACAGGTCAAACGTTTTCTGTAAGTCTTCACAAGGTTTTCACACACTGTTGCTGGTATTTTGGCCCATTCCTCCATGCAGATCTCCTCTAGAGCAGTGATGTTTTGGGGCTGTCGCTGGGCAACACAGACTTTCAACTCCCTCCAAAGATTTTCTATGGGGTTGAGATCTGGAGACTGGCTAGGCCACTCCAGGACCTTGAAATGCTTCTTACGAAGCCACTCCTTCGTTGCCCGGGCGGTGTGTTTGGGATCATTGTCATGCTGAAAGACCCAGCCACGTTTAATCTTCAATGCCCTTGCTGATGGAAGGAGGTTTTCACTCAAAATCTCACGATACATGGCCCCATTCATTCTTTCCTTTACACGGATCAGTCGTCCTGGTCCCTTTGCAGAAAAACAGCCCCAAAGCATGATGTTTCCACCCCCATGCTTCACAGTAGGTATGGTGTTCTTTGGATGCAACTCAGCATTCTTTGTCCTCCAAACACGACGAGTTGAGTTTTTACCAAAAAGTTATATTTTGGTTTCATCTGACCATATGACATTCTCCCAATCCTCTTCTGGATCATCCAAATGCACTCTAGCAAACTTCAGACGGGCCTGGACATGTACTGGCTTAAGCAGGGGGACACGTCTCGCACTGCAGGATTTGAGTCCCTGGCGGCGTAGTGTGTTACTGATGGTAGGCTTTGTTACTTTGGTCCCAGCTCTCTGCAGGTCATTCACTAGGTCCCCCCGTGTGGTTCTGGGATTTTTGCTCATCGTTCTTGTGATCATTTTGACCCCACGGGTGAGATCTTGAGTGGAGCCCCAGATCGAGGGAGATTATCAGTGGTCTTGTATGTCTTCCATTTCCTAATAATTGCTCCCACAGTTGATTTCTTCAAACCAAGCTGCTTACCTATTGCAGATTCAGTCTTCCCAGCCTGGTGCAGGTCTACAATTTTGTTTCTGGTGTCCTTTGACAGCTCTTTGGTCTTGGCCATAGTGGAGTTTGGAGTGTGACTGTTTGAGGTTGTGGACAGGTGTCTTTTATACTGATAACAAGTTCAAACAGGTGCCATTCATACAGGTAACGAGTGGAGGACAGAGGAGCCTCTTAAAGAAGAAGTTACAGGTCTGTGAGAGCCAGAATTCTTGCTTGTTTGTAGGTGACCAAATACTTATTTTCCACCATAATTTGCTAATAAATTCATAAAAAATCCTACAATGTGATTTTCTGGATTTTTTTTCCTCATTTTGTCTGTCATAGTTGACGTGTACCTATGATGAAAATTACAGGCCTCTCTCATCTTTTTAAGTGGGAGAACTTGCACAATTGGTGGCTGACTAAATACTTTTTTCCCCCACTGTAAGTGTATGTATTTAAGCCAGACATTGTTCCTGTGGATGTCTCATTGTTTTTACCACAAATGGCATCAATATCTGATTCACTTTAAAACTCATTATATCCAAACCCACTGTAAAGAGTAAAATCGTGTTCCTCCTGCTGAATGCGGTAGGTACATCAGACAGTAAAAAAGCATGTGATGAGCAAATGTGTCTCGAGATTCCGCCCTTTGATTTAATTACATTCAATTCACTGACTTTCTAAATAAACCATTAATCTCATGGAATTGGTTTTATGGTCCCCTGCATACTGAAACTGAATCACAGTGGCTGTGTCCCAAATGGCACTCTATTCCCTCCCTATATAGTGCATTGCTGTTGACCAGAACCCTATGGGCCCTGGTCAAAAGTAATGCAGTACATAGCGAATAGAGTGGGACATTTTATCGCTCTGTTGCTGTGGCTCATGGATTATCTGCTACAGATGTAGGATCTTCATTTGAGCCAGTTTGCGACAGCAGGAAAATGATCCTGCAGCAACAGGAAATGTGAATTACTATGTGGATTATATAATTAACAGACATTTTTTGTAGGGGTTGATACATTTTTCGTTAGGGCAAATCAAGTCTGACATTTAAAGTGGAAATTACAAACTTTAGATCCTTTTTAAACTTCGAATACAGTTTGCATTTCCTGCTATGCAGAAACATTCTCCTCAACAAAAGAGTGATCGAATTAAGATCCTACATCTGTATCCTCTGCAAGTCAAGAGGTGGCAGGTATTTTACTTGATTATTCAATATAAAAAGTATTCTCTATTCTCTAGTATGCAGCTGTTAGAAATGCAGGAATGTCACATACTCCATGCAAAGTAAATTACAAAGTCTAAACACTAACAGAGAACCTAAATCATTGACATTTAGGTCTAGCACTGCTTCCCGCAGTTTCCACCATTCACTTAAAATAAAATAAATGTTTGGACTTATGTGCTGGACACTGGAACAATGCATTGCATCTTTCATGCTCCCTTACAATGAGTATGTTTTTATGCACACTAATAATTACATATTAAACTGATTATGGCAGTAGGCCGAGTATGTAAATACTCTACATGACCAAAAGTATGTGGACACCTGCTCGTAGAACATCTCATTCCAAACTCATGGGCATTAATATGGAGTTGGTCCCCCCTTTGCTGCTATAACAGCCTCCACTCTTCTGGGAAGGCTTTCCACTAGATGTTGGAACATTGCTGCAGGGACTTCAGCCACAAGAGCATTAGTGTTAGGCGATTAGGCCTGGCTCGCAGTCGGCCTTCCAATTAATCCCAAAGGTGTTTGATGGGGTTGAGCTCAGGGCTATGTGCAGGCCAGTCAAGTTCTTCCACACCGATGTTTCATTTCTGTATGGACCTTGCTTTGTGCACGGGGCATTGTCATGCTGAAACAGGAAAGGGCCTTCCCCAAACTGTTGCCACAAAGTTGAAAGAACAGAATCGTCTAGAATGTCATTGTATACCATAGCTATAGATTTCCCTTCACTGGAACTAAGGGGCCTAGCCCAAACCATGAAAAACAGCCCCAGACCATTATTCCTCCTCCACCAAACTTTATAATTGGCACTATGCATTCGGGCAAGTAGCGTTCTCCTGGCATCCACCAAAGCCAGATTCATCTGTTGGACTGTCAGACTGCCAGATGGTGAAGCATGATTCATCACTCCAGATAACTAATTTTCACTGCTCCAGAGTCCAATGGCGGCGAGCTTTACACCACTCCAGCCGATGGTTGGCATTGCGCATGGTGATCTTAAGCTTGTGTGCGGCTGCTCGGCCATTGAAACACATTTCATGAAGCTCCCGACGAACAGTTCTTGTGCTGACGTTGCTTCCAGAGGCAGTTTGGAACTCGGTAGTGAGTGTTGCAACCGAGGACAGACAATTGTCTATGGAGATTGCATGGCAGTGCTCAATTTTATACACCTGTCAGCAACGGTTGTGGCTGAAATAGCCTAATCCACTAATTTGAAGGGTTGTCCACATACTTTTGTATATATAGTGCGTATCTTAATCGGCGTAAGGTCAAAATCGAAGTAAGCATACGCCGATTAAAACATCTGGTTTTCTGAGAAAACCTTTGAATTATTAGGACATGTAAACAGCTTAATCGGCCTTCCAGCGCCGTATTTGATATGAGTGTATGCTTAATTTGAGCCTGTTTGCTAAAGCAAGAAAATAATCCTGCAGCAACAGGAAATATTAATAGAAATGTTTTGTAAGGGTTGATACATTTTTCGTTAGTAAATCAAGTCTGACATTTTAAAGTGGAAATTACAAACTTTAGAAGCCTTTTTAAACTTTGAATACACTTGAAGTTTGCATTTCCTGCTGTGCAGGAACATTCTCAGCCACAAAAGAGTGATCAAATTAAGATCCTACATCTGTATGTAAAACCCGGCCATCCAGTCGAGTAATGAATCCCTTTATAGGATAGTCAAGCCACAGGTCATCTAAAGGATTTCTTTATTAACACAGGGGACTGTGCTCTGCCCCGTTATGTATCTATCAATGGCACAACATGTTCTCAGCATTTTCTTATGGTCAGTGACAGTTAGAAGGAACGAGGAGGAGCAGGAAATAGACACAGCTCAGCAAGAAAACTCTGTCCCCCTATGCATCTTGTTGTCATCCATCAAACAAGCCACAGTATGCACTAATGGTCTAATTATATCATGTCTAGGGGAGTACAGTACACTGAGTTCTCACTTACTTTGATAACATTATGTTGTATAACAGTGGTACAACACAGTTGTGACATAGCTGAAATCAATCTCATGGAGAGGGTTGGGGAAATGCGAATACAACTAAAGTCACATAAATAACTAGGCCTAGTATATATACCTACTTTGATTAATTGACAAATACAACATGTTTTCTCTATTCAGCTTCACACAGACCTGGACAGGGGTGACAGCGAGGTGAAGTACACTCTCTCAGGAGAAGGAGCCGGCACCATCTTCACCATAGACCAGACGACGGGCGACATCCATGCCTTGATGGGTCTGGACAGAGAGGAGAAGTCTTACTACACATTACGAGCCCAGGCTATGGACATGCACACAGGCAGGCCTCTGGAGCCTGAGTCTGAATTCATCATAAAAGTTCAAGACATCAATGACAATGAACCAAAGTTCTTAGAGGGCCCATATACAGCCAGTGTCCCAGAGATGTCACCAGGAGGTAAGAAAGGCACATATACTGTACTTTTTGGCTTACACAAATCCATATGGGGTAAAGATACTATGACGATGTTGGACAGTAATCTACACTAGGGTATTTGAAGGGTATCCTTTAGGACTACAGGCCTAGTTATACTGTCTACGATCTCATCTTCATACAATCACATGATTGAGACCGGCATAGGTTACTGTTGCTTGGTTTAATATCATTGCAGGCAGGTGGCCTTGATGTTTTGGGTTGTAAACGTTTTTGCAGTTGAAATGAATAAAGTACACTATTTGCCATAAAGCACACATTAAAAGCCAGCGACATTCATTCACAGTAAATTGCAGTGGACTCACCCGATGTTGGTCGTCTCGAACAAACCGCACCTTTTTTCTAAACGCATGCATCGCGTGCTGAACATAGTGAAATAGGCAGTGGTTTATAGACCTAAACCGGGCTGCAACCAGGGATGAATAAGAAAACATTAAGTCAACTCAACAACATTGCTAACAATGTATTACTTTTAACTAGGCATCAAATGACTCCCCTTTTAATGGGATCCCTGTTAAACTTTGTTAAATCAATATTGAGGACATGTAGTACACTCTTAGAAAAAAGGGTTCCAAAAGGGTTACAGAAAATGTTTGGATTTAGGCCTACACTCTTATTAAAAAAGGTTCTATCTACAACCTAAAATGGTTCTTCATCTGTCCCCATAAGAGAACCCTTTGAAGAGCCCTTTTAGGTTCCAGGTAGAACTGTTTTTGGTTCCAGGTAAAACCCCTTTGGGTTCTATGTAGAACCCTTTGTGGAAAGGTTTCCACATGGAACCCAAAAGGGTTCAACCCTGAACCAAAAGGGTTCTTCCTGGTACCAAAAAGGGCTCTTCAAAGGGTTCTCTTATGGGGACAGATGAAGAACAATTTTAGGTTGTAGATAGAACCTTTTTTAATAAGAGTGTAGGCCTAAATCCAAAAAAATTCTGTCTTTATCAGATAGGTCTATAAGCTTAAAAACAAAACATTGAATTAATATAAAATCTAAGTAAGGCCTAAGCAGGTTCTCCTTCCTCGATCACTGAGCACAGGTGGGGTACCAGGCTCTGCCCATAACAAGCTAAACCCAACAAAACGTTACACACAGGTATTTCACGTAGGCCTATTGCCAGAAATACTGGCACCAATCCAGAGAGCACATGACCAGTCGATGGAAGTGAGGGAACACAAACAAAAGAAAAATGAGATGAAAATTCAATTAGGTTGAATTCAGTAAAGACAACATATACCTCGTAAGTGTTCATGAGATCCTAAACACAGCATACACAGGAAAATGCAACAGATAAATTACATGGAATAATGAAAGAAACAAATTCTAAGGAGCGAAATGGCTAAATGTTGGTAAAACACAAAACAACACCGGCATTTTGGTAATAGTAGCGAACTGAAACCATGTAGTTTAACAAAACACTGTGCTGTCAATTATTGGGAAAGGTCTGAGAAAAATGTAAATGATAAATACATTATTTAGCCTACAGGGTGAAATGAATAGACAAGGTCTACACATTGATCTATGTATAAAGCTTAAGTTAGGGATGGAGCGGCTAGCCCATTCCATCTGTCTGGTAAATACTATTACTTAAAGTTAACGGTGAGGTTTTAAGACCATAATCTCTTAATTCTCATGAAGTTTAAACTCCATGTTAAAGCTTCAGATCCCAGCATTCATCCAAAAAGTCCAGCCAAGCTGTCTTGCTTTGAATTACATCAGATATCCTATAGCCTATGTACAGTGGGGAGAACAAGTATTTGATACACTGCCGATTTTGCAGGTTTTCCTACTTACAAAGCATGTAGAGGTCTGTACTTTTTATCATAGGTACACTTCAACTGTGAGAGACGGAATCTAAAACAAAAATCCAGAAAATCACATTGTATGATATTTAAGTAATTAATTTGCATTTTATTGCATGATATGAGTATTTGATACATCAGAAAAGCAGAACTTAATATTTGATACAGAAACCTTGGTTTGCAATTACAGAGATCATAAGTTCCCTGTAGGTCTTGACCAGGTTTGCACACACTGCAGCAGGGATTTTGGCCCACTCCTCCTTACAGACCTTCTCCAGATCCTTCAGGTTTCGGGGCTGTTGCTGGGCAATACGGACTTTCAGCTCCCTCCAAAGATGTTCTATTGTGTTCAGGTCTGGAGACTGGCTAGGCCACTCCAGGACCTTGAGATGCTTCTTACGGAGCCACTCCTTAGTTGCCCTGGCTGTGTGTTTCAGGTCGTTGTCATGCTGGAAGACCCAGCCACGACCCATCTTCAATGCTCTTACTGAGGGAAGGTGGTTGTTGGCCAAGATCTCGCGATACATGGCCCCATCCATCCTCCCCTCTATACGGTGCAGTCGTCCTGTCCCCTTTGCAGAAAAGCATCCCCAAAGAATGATGTTTCCACATCCATGCTTCACGGTTGGGATGGTGTTCTTGGGGTTGTACTCATCCTTCTTCTTCCTCCAAACTCGGCGAGTGGAGTTTAGACCAAAAAGCTCTATTTTTGTCTCATCAGACCACATGACCTTCTCCCATTCCTCCTCTGGATCATCCAGATGGTCATTGGCAAACTTCAGACGGGCCTGGACATGTGCTGGCTTGAGCAGGGGGACCTTGCGTGCGCTGCAGGATTTTAATCCATGACGGCGTAGTGTGTTACTAATGGTTTTCTTTGAGACTGTGGTCCCAGCTCTCTTCAGGTCATTGACCAGGTCCTGCCGTGTAGTTCTGGGCTGATCCCTCACCTTCCTCATGATCATTGATGCCCCACGAGGTGAGTTCTTGCATGGAGCCCCAGACCGAGGGTGATTGACCGTCATCTTGAACTTCTTCTATTTTCTAATAATTGCGCCAACAGTTGTTGCCTTCTCACCAAGCTGCTTGCCTATTGTCCTGTAGCCCATCCCAGCCTTGTGCAGGTCTACAATTTTATCCCTGATGTCCTTACACAGCTCTCTGGTCTTGGCCATTGTGGAGAGGTTGGAGTCTGTTTGATTGAGTGTGTGGACAGGTGTCTTTTATACAGGTAACTAGTTCAAACAGGTGCAGTTAATACAGGTAATGAGTGGAGAACAGGAGGGCTTCTTAAAGAAAAACTAACAGGTCTGTGAGAGACGGAATTCTTACTGGTTGGTAGGTGATCAAATACTTATGTCATGCAATAAAATGCTAATTAATTACTTAAAAATCATACAATGTGATTTTCTGGATTTTTGTTTTAGATTCCGTCTCTCACAGTTGAAGTGTACCTATGATAAAAATTACAGACCTCTACATGCTTTGTAAGTAGGAAAACCTGCAAAATCGGCAGTGTATCAAATACTTGTTCTCCCCACTGTAGATTACATTACATGCCAGAATGTGTCAAATTATGTCACAAACTTTGTCTTGATGAAAAACATACGAATCTTGTACTATTCTTAAGACGTAATGCTCGAAGTGACGAAAATAACAGTATTTCTAACAATTTCCTTCCCTTTGTCTCTGTCTGACGCACAGGTACTTTTGTTATGCAGGTGACTGCCACAGATGCTGACGACCCCACCTATGGGAATAGTGCACGGATCGTGTACAGTATCCTATACGGACAGCCTTACTTTTCAGTCGACTCCAAAACTGGTGAGATCACAACACAGTTGAAATCAAGGCACATCCATAATGTCACATGGAGAGATTTGAAAACCAAATGTGTAACTGGCCTTTACAATGGCATAATGTAAAGCTGTACCACTGGTGTTCCCAAATTAAAACTCCAGGTCGCACAGCAAAAATACAAACATTTTCAACCAAATTGGTCACACTTTAGAGCCCTGACCACTGCAATATCTTATTTCGATGTACAGTCAGGTCCATAAGTATTTGTGTGACAATTTGCATTATTCTGGCTCTGTACGCCACCACAATGGATTTTAAAAGAAACAATCAAGATGTGCTTTAAGTGTAGACTTTCATCTTTAATTTAAGGGTTTTGTCGAAATTCTTCTATGAACCGTGTAGGAATTATAACCATTTGTATACATAGCCCCCCAATTTTAGGGGCTCAAAAGTATTGGACAAACTAACATAATCATAAATTAAATTGTGAGTTTTAATACTTGGTTGCAAATCCTTTGCATTCAATGACTACCTGAAGTCTGGAACTCATAGACATCACCAGATGTTGGGTTTCTTCCCTGGTAATGCTCTGCCAGGCCTTTACTGCAGCTGTCTTCAGTTCCTGCTTGTTCTTGGAGCGTTTTGCCTTCAGTTCTGCCTTCAGCAAGTGGAATGCATGCTCAATTTGATTCAGGTCAGGTGATTGACTTGGCCATTGCAGAACATTCCACTTCTTTGCCTTAAAAAATTATTGGGTTGCTTTCGCAGTATGCTTCGGGTCATTGCCCATCTGCACTGTGAAGCACCGTCCAATGAGTTTTGAAGCATTTGGCTGAATCTGAGCAGATAATATAGCCCTAAACACCAGAATTCATCCTGCTGCTTTTGTCAGCAGTCACATCATCAATAAATACAAGGGAACCAGTTCCATTGGCAGCCATACATGCCCACGCCATAACACTACCTCCACCATGCATCACAGATGAGGTGGTATGCTTCAGATCATGAGCAGTTCCTTCCCTTCTCCATACTCTTCTCTTCACATTATTCTGGTACAAGTTGATCTTTGTCTCATCTGTCCACAGGATGTTGTTCCAGAACTGTACAGGCTTTTTAATAAGTTTTTTGGCAAACTCTAATCTGGTCTTCCTGTTTTTGAGGCTTACCAATGGTTTACATCTTGTGGTAAACCCTCTGTATTTACTTTGGTGTAGTCTTCTTGTCAAGGGTTCTGATGCGAATGTGGTGTGGAATCAAGTGCAGGACACAGGAGCTCAGTCAAACCTGACTTTACTGAAATGAAACAAATACAAACGGGTCCAACTAACCCGGAGGCGAACAATACGCAACAGTGCGTAAAATACCAAAACCGACTACGCACGAAAACAAAAGTGCGACGGTACACTCTGGCGTCTGTCCAAACAAATGAAGAGCACCAACAGACAGGTGAAAACAATTACACACAACACATGACAGAAACAACGAGAACTTATAGGACACATAATCAACACTAAACATGAACAGGTGTACCAAACAGACCTAACCAAACAAACATCGAAAACAAAGAACGGTGGCAGCTAGTACTCCGGAGACGACGACCGCCGAAGCCTGCCCGAACAAGGAGGAGGAGCAGCCTCGGCCGAAACTGTGACAGTACCCCCCCCTTGACGCGCGGCCACAGCCGTGCGCCGATCCCGGCCTCGAGGACGACCAGGAGGACGCGGAGCAGGGCGCGTGGGATGACCACGATGGAACTCGGTCAGAAGAGACAGGTCTAAGATGTCCCTCCTCGGCACCCAGCACCTCTCCTCCGGGCCGTACCCCTCCCACTCCACGAGATATTGGAGACCCCCCATCCGACGTCTCGAATCCAAGATGGACCGCACGGTGTAAGCCGGGGCCCCCTCGATGTCCAATGGGGGCGGAGGAGTCTCTCTGATCTCATCTTACTGGAGTGGACCAGCTACCACCACCTGAGAAGAGACACATGGAACGAGGGGTTAATACGATAGTCACTAGGCAGTTGTAATCTGTAACACACCTCGTTCAATCTTCTCAGGACTTTAAACGGCCCCACAAACCGCCGACCCAGTTTCCGGCAGGGCAGGCTGAGGGGCAGGTTTCTGGTAGAGAGCCAGACTCGGTCACCAGGTGCGTACACCGGCCCCTAACTGCAGTGGAGATCGGCGCTCGCCTTTTGACGACGGATGGCCCGCTGCAGATGGACGTGTGCAGCGTTCCACGTCTCCTCCGAGCGCCGCACCCACTCATCCACCGCAGGAGCCTCGATCTGGCTCTGCTGCCATGGTGCCAGAACCGGCTGGTGACCTAACACACATTGGAAAGGGGTTAGGTTAGTTGAGGAGTGGCGTAGGGAATTCTGGGCCATTTCTGCCCAAGGAACATACCGTGCCCACTCCTCCGGCCGGCCCTGGCAGTATGATCTAAGAAACCTACCCACATCCTGGTTCACGCGTTCCACCTGCCCATTACTCTCAGGATGGTAACCCGAGGTAAGGCTCACCGAGACCCCCAAACGCTCCATAAAAGCTCTCCAGACTCTGGAGGTGAACTGGGGACCTCGATCAGACACAATATCCTCGGGTACCCCGTAGTGCCGGAAAACGTGGGTGAATAGAGCTTCGGCGGTCTGTAGGGCAGTAGGAAGGCCCGGCATAGGGAGCAAACGACAGGCCTTAGAGAACCGGTCCACAACGACCAGTATAGTGGTATTTCCCTGCGAGGGGGGAAGGTCAGTGATGAAGTCCACCGAGAGGTGAGACCATGGTCGTTGTGGAACGGGCAGGGGTTGTAACTTACCCCTAGGCAGATGTCTAGGCGCCTTACACTGGGCGCACACCGAGCAGGAGGAGACATAAACCCTCACATCCCTGGCTAACGTGGGACACCAGTACTTAGCACCAAGACAGTGCACTGTCCGGCCAATACCAGGATGTCCAGAGGAGGGTGACGTGTGAGCCCAATAAATGAGTCGATCCTGAACCTCGAGCGGAACGTACTTCCGACCCACAGGACACTGTGGAGGGCTAGGGTCGGTACGCAACGCCCGCTCGATTTCAGCATCGACCTCCCACACAACCGGTGCCACTAGACAAGACTGCGGTAGTATGGAAGTGGGCTCAACGGACCTCTCCTCTGTGTCATACCGCCGGGACAGGGCGTCTGCCTTACCGTTCTGGGACCCAGGGATGTACGTGATTTTAAATACGAACCTGGCTAGAAACATGCTCCACCGAGCCTGGCGAGGGTTCAGTCTCCTAGCCGCCCGGATGTACTCCAGGTTCCGATGGTCAGTCAAAATGAGGAAAGGGTGTTAAGCCCCCTCAAGCCAATGCCTCCACACCTTTAGGGCCTGTACCACGGCTAACAGCTCCCTGTCCCCTACGTCATAATTTCGCTCCGCCGGGCTGAGCTTTTTAGAGTAAAAAGCACAGGGCCGGAGTTTAGGTGGCGTGCCGGACCGTTGAGATAGAACGGCCCCTATACCGGCCTCAGACGCGTCCACCTCTACCTGAAATGGTAAGGCGGGATCCGGATGCGCCAGCACCGGAGCCGAAGTAAACAGGCCCTTCAGTTTCCCAAAAGCCCTGTCCGCCTCAGCTGACCACTGCAAGTGCACCGGACCCCCCTTCAGAAGAGACGTGATGGGAGCTGCCACCTGTCCAAAACCCCGGATAAACCTCCGGTAGTAATTCGCAAAGCCCTAGAACTGCTGCACCTCTTTAACAGTGGTTGGGGTTTGCCAATTACGCATGGCTGACACACGGTCCACCTCCATCTTCACCCCTGACGCGGACAACCGATAACCCAAAAAGGAGACCGACTCCTGGAAAAACAGACATTTCTCTGCCTTGACATACAGGTCGTGCTTCAACAGCCTCCTCAACACTCGACGCACCAGGGCTACATGCTTGGCTCGGGTAGAAGAGTACACCAGAATGACATCAATGTACACGACCACACCTTGCCCCTGCATGTTCCGGAAGATCTCATCCACGAAGGATTGGAAGACTGAATGAGCATTCATCAACCCGTATGGCATGACGAGATACTCGTAATGACCCGAGGTGGTACTAAATGCTGTCTTCCATTCATCGCCCTCCCTAATGCGCACCAAGTTATATGCACTCCTGAGATCCAGTTTTGTGAAGAAACGCGCTCCGTGCAATGATTCCGTCATAGTCGCAATCAGAGGGAGTGGATAACTGTATTTCACAGTAATCTGATTGAGACCACGGTAATCAATGCACGGGCGCAACCCTCCATCCTTTTTCTTCACAAAAAAGAAGCTCGAGGACGCAGGGGAAGTGGAGGGCCGTATGTATCCCTGTCTCAAAGATTCGGCTATGTACGTCTCCATAGCCCTTTTCTCCTCTTGAGACAAAGGATACACGTGGCTCCGCGGGAGCGCTGCTCCTGCCTGGAGGTCTATCGCACAATCCCCCTGTCTGTGAGGAGGCAACTGCGTCGCCCTCGCCTTACTGAACACAAGTGCCAAATCCTCATATTCAGGGGGAATGTGCATTGCGGCCACTTGGTTTGGACTTTCCACCGAGGTCGCCCCCACGGAAACACCCAGACATCGCCCCTCACACTGAGCAGACCACTCCCTGAGAGCCCTCTCTTGCCACGAAATAGAAGGGTTATGGGTACTTAACCAGGGAATTCCCAGCACCACCGGGTACGCAGGGGAGTCGATCAGATATAGCTGAATAGACTCCTCATGACCCCCCTGCGTACACATCCTAAGTGGTGCTGTGACCTCCCTAATCAACCCCGAACCCAACGGGCGACTATCTAAAGCATGAACTGGAAATGGAACGTCCACAGGAAGGAGGGGAATCCCTAAATCTAAACAAAATTTCCGATCCACAAAATTCCCAGCTGCGCCTGAATCTACTAGTGCCTTATGCTGGGAATGAGGTGCAACCTGTGGAAAACTTACAGGTATACAGAAGTGCACAACAGAGAGCTCTGGGTAAGTGGGGCGTCTACTCACCTGGGAAGGCTCCCCAGTGCGTGGCCTGTCGTCCCCTCCTCCTGGAGACCCTCCCCAGCACCTGGCCGCAGTGTGCCCTCCACGGCCACAAGTGGTGCAGGGGACAGGCCCCCTCGGGCTCCTTCTCCTCCTCTCTCTAGCGCCAGCACCCCCGAGCTCCGTAGGGCTCGGCTCGGAGGTGCTGGAGGATGGAATGGACGGACCCCACTCGGGACGTCCACGGGTGGCCAGCAGGGTGTCAAGACGGATGGACATGTCGACCAACTGGTCGAACGTGAGGTTGGTGTCCCTGCAAGCCAACTCACGTTGGACGTCCTCCCGTAGACTACATCGAAAGTGATCGATGAGGGCCCGTTCATTCCACCCTGCATCTGCCGCTAGTGTCCGGAACTCCAGTGCGAACTCCTGGGCGCTCCTCCTCCCCTGTCGGAGGTAGAATAGACGCATAGGAGATGGTGGTGGCGTCTATCCTCCTCCATTCGGCGTTGGCCCATTCCAACGCCTTGCCGGTGAGACAGGAGATGAGGGCGGAAACGCTCTCGTGTCCCGAGGGCACCGGGTGTACAGTGGCCAGGTAGAGCTCCACCTGCAGGAGGAACCCCTGACACTCGGCAGCTGTGCCGTCATACGCCCTCGGGAGCGAGAGCCGAATCCCAAACAAACATCGAAAACAAAGAACGGTGGCAGCTAGTACTCCGGAGACGACGACCGCCGAAGCCTGCCCGAACAAGGAGGAGGAGCAGCCTCGGCCGAAACCGTGACACTTCTCTTGATTGTTGACTTTGACACAGATATGCCTACCTCCTGGAGGGTGTTCTTGATCTGGCCAACTGTTGTGAAGGGGTTTTTCTTCACCAAGGAAATAATGATTCTATCATCCACCACAGTTGTTTTCCGTGGTCTTCCGGGCCTTTTGGTGTTCCTGAGCTCACCAGTGCATTCTTTCTTTTTAAGAATGTACCAAATAGTTGATTTGGCCACACCTAATGTTTTGCTATCTCTCTGGGTTTATTTTGATTTTTCAGTCTAATGATGGCTTGCTTCACTGGCAGTGACAGCTCTTTGGACTTCATATTGAGGGTTAACAGCAACAGATTCCAAATGCCACACTTGAAATCAACTCTAGACCTTTTATCTGCTTACTTGTTGTAATACATACTCAGGGAGAAAAATTTGTAGATTCACGCGCAGAACGCGGCAGGTGTTTATTTTGCATTCGCAGAAGGCAGGAATCGTGGACACAGGCAGGCAATGGTCATACACAGGAAGGCTAACAGGCATGTGAATCAAAACTAGGACTGAAGGCTATAACTGGTTCTCACAAACGAGCTAGGAAAAGGCTTAGTAGAGTCAAAAAGAACAATACCTCACAAGGCACAAACAGAATGAACTGAACTAAATAAGGGGCTGATGAGACCAGGTGAGTAACACAGGTGAAATCAATGAACAAAAATAAAATACAGGGCTACGTTCAAGAACACAAAGAAACAGGGCTACGTTCAAGGTGAACTAAGAAAATAAATACAGAACCTTACACTTGTAAATGAACTAATGAGGGAATAACACACACCTGGCCATGGAACAGCTGAGCAGCCAATTGTCCAATTACTTTAGGTCACTTAAAAAGGGGGGGACCACATATAAAAAGTGCTGTAACTCCTATACCGTTGACCCGTTTTGGATGTAAATACCCTCAAATTAAAGCTGAAAGTCTGCACATTCAGCTCATATTCATTATTTAATTTCAACTCCAATATACTGTGGTAGACAGCTAAAATAATAATAACTTGGTCAATGTCCAAATATTTATGGGCCTGACTGTATGTGATTATTTTAGATACTACATTGCCAAAAGTATGTGGACACCTGCTCATCGAACATCTCATTCCAAAATTATGAGCATTCATGTGGAGTTGGTCTCCCCTTTGCTGCTATAACATCCTCCACTCTTCTGGGAAGGCTTTCCACTAGATGTTGGAACATTGCTGTGGGGACTTGCTTCCATTCAGCCACAAGAGCATTAGTGAGGTTGGGCACTGATGTTGGGCGATTAGGCCTGGCTCGCAGTCGGTGTTCCAATTCATCCCAAAGGTGTGCAATAGAGTTGAGGTCAGGACTCTGTGCAGGCCAGTCAAGTTCTTCTACACCGATCTCTACAAACCATTTCTGTATGGACCTAGCTTTGTGCACGGGGTCATTGTCATGCTGAAAAAAGGAAATGGCCTTCCCCAAACTGTTGCCACAAAGTTGGATTGTCTAGAATGTCATTGTATGCTGTAACGTCAAGATTTCTCTTCACTGGAACTAATGGGCCTAGCCCGAACCATGAAAAACAGACCCCAGACCATTATTCCTCCTTCACCAAACATTACAGTTGGCACTATGCATTGGGGCAGGTAGCATTCTCCTGGCATTCGCCAAACCCAGATTCGTCCGTCGGACTGCCAGATGGTGAAGCATGATTCATCACTCCAGAGAACGAGTTTCCACTGCTCCAGAGTCCAATGGCAGCGAGCTTTACACCCCTCCAGCCGTCACTTGGCATTGTGAATGGTGATCTAAGGCTTGTGTGCGGCTGCTCGGCCATGGAAACCCATTTCATGAAGCTCCCGACAACCAGTTCTTGTGCTGACGTTGCTTCCAGAGGCAGTTTGGAACTCAATAGTGAGTGTTGCAGATAAAGTTGGACAGAGTATAGGGGAACACTCTGCTTGACTCACAGGATGACAACACAGTGCAATTCCTTTGCCTTTTTACTCATTGTCGGTGGCAACTTGTGACCCCGTAGTACCCGTGCCATGGGCTGACTCCTGATCAAACGCTATTCACACATCTTTTATTCACTATTCACACACAATCCACCTCTTCTCAATTCCCTCTAGTAACATCAAAGGTGATACGATCTCGTATAGTCACAACTCATCTCTCTTTCTCCACCTGTGTACCCTCTCCCTCTCTCTCTCTGCCTCTCTCTCTCTCTCTCTCTCTCTCTCTCTCATTTCTCTCCCTCACATCTTCCCTGTTTGTTTCTGTGACCTTAAACAGGGGTGATAAGGACTGCTTTACCCAACATGGATCGTGAAATGAAGGAGCTGTACCAGGTCCTTATTCAGGCCAAGGATATGGGCGGGCAGCTGGGGGGACTAGCCGGAACAACCACCATCAACATCACCCTCAGCGACGTCAATGACAACCCGCCCAGGTTTTCAAAAAGTGTGCCACATTGCATTTAAATGACAACGGCTTTGTTTGCTGTTAGCCAATAAATCTAGCAAGTCTAACAAGTATGAAAGTTGAATGCATGTGTTAATTGTGTGTGCTGAAAGTCACCTTATATCTCTAAGTAATTTTATGTTAATCTAATCATTAATTAGTGTTAATTAGTGTAACTCAATTATAATGAGGTTATGCACTGTCTATACATAATCAATTGTTTTAAATGACCATAGAAGTGATAACTGCACAGATAGTTTTCATATAACACATTACAAAGAGGATGATGTGAGTCTGTTGTCCTTACTTAACACTACCGCCGGGACTTGACACATACAAGAATCTGCCAATGACATATTTTATTTTAAACTTTCTCGTCTGTCTTTATTTTCCACCAGGTATTTTCCACCTCAGGGTCCCAGAATCATCATCTGTGGGCTCAGCAGTAGGGAAGATCAGAGCTCATGACCTGGACTCTGGCAGGAATGCAGAGGTGGAATATTCTATAGTTCCTGGGGATGAAGGAAAGGTGTTTGATGTCACCTCCAACATGCACAGTCAGGAGGGAATCATAGTCCTTAGAAAGGTAGGAATTCACAACCCTCCACCAGTCACTTCATTTAACTTTAACACTTTTGCCCTGTGATGAGGATACTGTAGGTCCACAAATGATATCCATTGCACTTGGTTTTGGGACAGTTTCTCAATTTCATTCCATGAGAATTTCAGATCTGTTATGATAGATCACGAGCAATGCTGCTCATTTAGATGATTAAAATAATGTACTACTTGGGCCTTGGAATATTAATAGATAATTGCTGCATATATCTTTTTATCACAGCTACAAACCATCCTCAGAACCTAACCAGGAGGAAGTATGGAGAACTTGATGATCCCGATGTTCTGGCATTCTAAAAATGCATTGGGATATTTTTAGCAGGAAGTGCCCACCCACTGGACACAGACGTCAATTCAAAGTCTATTCCACGTTGGTTCAACGTCATTTCATTGAAATGACGTGGAAACAATTTTGATTCAACCAGTGTGTGCCCAGTGGGCAATGTTTTGGGATTTAGCTGACATTAATAAATAAATGCCTCCAAGGCTAGGATCAGAAAACACACCTCCTGATGGGATGTGACGAGCAGGAATCCCTTTAGACATTCTCTTTACAGCAGCTTTTCTCTTTGAGACCCACATACTTCCAAACTCCTATCTTCACATAAATGGATAGTTGCACCAATTGTCCTGATGAAAGCTTTTGAACTGGGTTTGAGTACATCTCTCGTTTGGTCTGGGATGATATTATTACTTGTTCACAGATGGGGTGTGTATCTTGCAGCTATGTGAGTTACCTCGCAAATACTGTGTTTCTGTTTCTGGAGGACGTCCTTGGTTACATAGAAGTTTCCCCATGTGCCACCTGCATTTGTTTTGATGTTGACAATGAAACTTCAAAGCATTAGACACTTTCTTGCAAATACATAGTGCGAATTATATATAAAGGCACAATTGCCTTCTGAAATTGAAATGATTATTGGGCCATCATTTTGTAGCTCTTTGTATCACAGCCATCCTTCTTATTGCTCTGTCTATTTCTTCCACTCTCTAAATGTAAGACATCTACAAAGTCCTGACAAGTAGCCCAAAATGACAAACCATATAACTGACATTGCAGAACGAGCGTGTGTACCAGATGATACATCGAAATGGCTGCTGGTGGATCACCAGGTAGTAGAGACACAGGGGTCAACTAAACCCCCCCCCCCCACACACACACACACACACATACACACATACAGTACCAGTCAAAAGTTTGGACACACCTACTCATTCAAGTGTTTTTCTTTATTTTTTACTATTTTCTACATTGTAGAATAATAGTGAAAAAATCTAAACTATGAAATAACACATATGGAATAATGTAGTAACCAAAAAAGTGTTTAACAAATCAAAATATATTTTAGATTCTTCAAAGTAGCCACCCTTTGCCTTGATGACAGCTTTGCACACTCTTGGCATTCTCTCAACCAGCTTCACCTGGAATGCTTTTCAAACACTCTTGAAGGAGTTCTTGTTGGCTGCTTTTCCTTCACTCTGCGGTCCTACTCATTCCAAACCATCTCAATTGGGTTGAGGTCGGGTGATTGTGGAGGCCAGGTCATCTGATGCAGCACTCCATCACTCTCCTTCTTGGTCAAATAGCCCTTACACAGCCTGGAGGTGTGTTGGGTCATTGTCCTGTTTGAAAACAAATGATAGTCCCACTAAGCGCAAACCAGATGGGATGGCTTATCGCTGCAGAATGCTGTGGTAGCCATGCTGGTTAAGTGTGCCTTGCATTCTAAATAAATCACAGACAGTGTCACCAGCAAAGCACCCCCACACCATCACACTTCCTCTTCCATGCTTCATGGTGGGATCAATACATGCGTAGATCATCCGTTTACCTACTCTGCGTCTAAAAACGACACGGCGGTAAGAACCAAAAATCTCAAATTTGGACTCATCAGACCAAAAGACAGATTTCCACCGGTCTAATGTCCATTGCTCGTTTTTCTTAGCCCAAGCAAGTCTCTTCTTCTTATTGGTGTTCGATCATGAAGGCATGATTCACGCAGTCCCCTCTGAACAGTTGATGTTGAGATGTGTCTGTTACTTGAACTCTGTGAAGCATTTATTTGGGCTGCAATCTGAGGTGCAGTTAACTCTAATAACTCTGGGTCTTCCTTTCCTGTGGCGGTCCTCATGAGAGCCAGTTTCATCATAGCGCTTGATGGTTTTTGCGACTCCACTTGAAGAAACTTTCAAAGTTCTTGAAATTTTCCGGATTGACCTTCATGTCTTAAAGTAATGATGGACTGTCGTTTCTCTTTGCTTATTTGAACTGTTCTTGCCATAATATGGACTTGGTATTTTACCAAATAGGGCTATCTTCTGTATACCACCCCTACCTTGTCACAACACAACTGATTGGCTCAAATGCGTTAAGAAGGAAAGAAATTACACAAATTAACTTTTAACAAGGCACACCTGTCATCAAGGCAAAGGGTGGCTACTTTGAAGAATCTCAAATATAAAATATAAAACACTTTTTTGGTTACTACATGATTCCATATGTGTTATTTCATAGTTGTGATGTCTTCACTTTTATTCTACAATGTGGAAAATAGTACAAATTAAAAAAACCTGGAAAGAGTAGGTGTGTCCAAACTTTTGACTGGTACTCTACATTTGCCTAAACAACACCAAACCACCCACTGTGAAAGCCCAGGTGTTGGTGGAAAGTCTGGAAAATTGCTGAGACCGGTTATTTTGCTCCCGTCTCTGACTTAGGGAGGGCTCAGCCAAGGTTTGCCATAGTGTGATAAGAGGATTTGGAGTAATGGATTCAAGGGATAATCGGCTCCGTCAAAATAAAAGATTATAGTGAAACCATAGGTAAACCGTCTGTGGGATTCGAATGCCCTCTACATGTATTTATGTGTCAAGATATCGGGGTCTTTCTACATTGGACAGTTTGCTGGATTTCGTTTCGGTCTTAAAGCACACTCTAATCTAAACTATACTTCAAGACTCCAGTAATTATTATCTGGCAGGTTCCAACCTTTATACGTTAGACTATCAACCTCTTCTGATTTATTTGAGATAATATGATCTCTTTCCAAGCTGAGCTCTTGTATATTTCAAAAGTAGTTATTATCATGTGGTTTATCAGTGAATTAAAAAAAGTGTGCCCTCACATTTTAAGTAGGAGGTTGAGGCGCTTTGCTATCCCATTGATCTCCTAGACGATGAGACATGGCAGGTAAGTCAGTCACACAGGAGGGCAAAGTGAAAACAGCAGGAGCTTCCTGGCACAAAAACTGTAATTGACACCTCTGTGCCAATGATAAGAAGACATTTCACTAGGTTGCAGATTTGTGGTGGGAGGTAGAGTTGGAGGATATAGGCCCAAACCAACAAAGGATGGGTTCAATTTCCAGATAATGAATATTTTCCCTGCTAATTTACATGTATGCAGTGTTGCAGGAATTGTGTTCCCTGCAGGTAACGCTGAACAGTGCTTTTGGGATAGGATAGCACACATGCTGTGGTGTCTGTCCTTCTGCATCACCGGCCCAGTCCTGTTGTCTGTCTGGTTGTTATCCAGTCAGCAGGGTGGCTGCCATTTCCACAGATTACCAGATGTTTGGGTGCATGTGCCTCAGACAGGGACTGCTGTGTGTGTGTTGGCAGTGAGAACTGTTTTGTTGTAAACACTAACTAGGGACCCAGCTGAGTTAATGTAAGACAGTAATATAGGGTTAGAAAGCTGTTCTCAACGTGTCTTCCTGAAAATGTGTCAAAACCCAAGCATTCACTTTTCAATTCTCAAATTGCTTAAATGCTGAGACACTGAAGAACATGCATCTGTTTTGGTAAAAGCACATTGAAACCAACCCTTTTGGTTCATTTTAGATTAATCAATCTTGGTTGGTGCAGTTAATGGGCACATTTCTATATCAAAGTACTTAACTTCCGTGTCTGTTGAGCATATTAAACCGAACAGAGGTGTTAACAAACTGAACCAAGACAGTTATGACCCCCTAAGCTTTATATTTGACCATTGCACAGTATATTCAGTGTTCATGTAAAATGTTTGCTTTTCTTGAAGGTATTAATTCGATCATTCTATGTTGATTCATATTTCTGAATAATAAATGCATTTAACTTTGCTGATTACTCCTTCACTCATTATCTTTCAGCATCTCGACTACGAAAACAAAAAGTCGTACACCTTTAAAGTGGAGGCCTCCAACGCTCACCGGGACCCCCGGTTCCTCCACCTGGGCCCTTTCAAAGACATCGCCACAGTCAAGGTCAATGTGCTGGATGTGGACGAACCCCCTGTGTTCACTAAGACCTCTTACACCATAGATGTGTATGAGGACACTCCTGTGGGCACCATCATTGGATCAGTTACTGCACAGGACCTAGACGCAAGCAGCAGTGCAGTTAGGTACGTACTCATGCATATATATAATAAGTATTGTGTACCTACAGTATGTTTACTCAAAGATGAGATCCATCAAGGCTGGGGTTGAGAAATGGGTCCATCATGGGCTGAGTTACTTTACATTTGGGCACTTATGTCTGACACCTTAAACGGCAACAAAACCCACCTCTGCTCCTCAGAGGTATGAATGAACACTGACATCTACTATCACATTTGGCCTATTGTTTGTCTTCTTCTTCTAAATGTTTTTCAAGTACAGTTGACTTCCACTCTGTTGGTGTTGAGAGCGGGAACGTGAGACGCAGGACATCTCTTGCACAAGAACATCAAAATACTTTGTAGCCCAACTGTGTATTTTTGTTATCTATGAATATTTAACGGATTACTACAAATGGAGGAGGCAGTCATTCACCTTGCTTAAAAGGCAGTCTTCATGATGGCTGCTTAATATTTCAGAGCATTACATTTGTCATTGTTCTTTTGGGATATGGAACACTTAAATGTACTAAAACGCTGATCAGAACACAACCAGACTGCATCCCAAATGGCATCCTATTCCCTAGATAGTGCACTTCTTTTGTCAAAAGAAGTGCACTATAAGGAATAGGGTGCCATTTGGGACAAATCCCCAGTCTCTACATGAAAATCAAATTATTATTATTCTGTGTAATGTTTCCTGTCATAGCCTTGGTCTTTATTTGATTAATCGTTCTGACATTTCTCCTTGGGAACCAATCAAATATTTATCTATCTCTATAGATCTATTACATAGAAAATGTATGTCAAGAATAGCTAAGCTGTATGTCTTGATTGAGAGATGCCGTGTGAGGTTGAAGGAATCATATGTATATGTTAATTATACGTTTTCTGCATGTTTTGTAGGTACTCTATTGAGTGGAAGAGGCCTGTGGACAGCTGCTTTGACATTGATACTGTGGAAGGGACCATCTCCACCAACGAGATGTTGGACAGAGAGAGTAATAGGCAGCACAATATCTCTGTTGTGGCCAGTAAAGTTAGTAAGTATTGGGACGAAGGGTTAATATGTATATAATATATATTAATATCAGAGGAGGCTGGTAGGCGGAGATATAGGTGGACGGGCTCACTGTAATGGCTGGACTGGAATTAATGGAATGGAGTCAAACACGTTGTTTCCATGTGCTTGATGTGTTTGGTAAAATTTATTTATTCCATTCCAGCCATTACAACGAGCCAGTCCTCCTATAACTCCTTCCACCAGCCTCCTCTGGTTAATATAAATCCGCCTGGGGCCGTATTCACAAAGCCTCTCAGAGTAGAATTGTTGATCTAAGATCAGTTTTGCCTTTTAAATCACAATGAACAAGAAGGGGGCCCTGATCCTAGATCAGTAATCTCTGAGACACTTTGTGAATGCTGGTCCTGGAGCAAATAACTTGGACAGTGTTTGCAGAAAGCAAGCCATTCAGTAATCTCCTACACACACAATGTTCCATACTTTTGGCACCATCTAGGGGAATTGACTGAAACGTACGGTAATGCAGACTGACAGATAAGATGAACTAATGCTATTTCTCCACTGAAACGGCAGCTTATTATATGGGAAGATTTTCAATTGAAATAAAAATAATCATTAGCATGATTAGCAAATCACACAATACAATCAACACATATGATTAATATCTTATAATTTGTCTGTGCTGACATTTGTTTTTCTATTAAAACATTTTGAATATTTTTCAATGACTATTTTTAAGTGTTACATTATTTAATTGTCAATTTCATATTGATTGAATGAGGCCTGCAATTCCAAGTGCAAACAGAAAGTGTCACTGTTGCATCTTTTATCAAACTAGAGTTAACATGTGCCCAATACATCATTACATTTTACATTTTAGTCATTTAGCAGACGCTCTTATCCAGAGCGACTTACAGTTAGTAATACACCTCAATACTGTTTGTTTTACAAAGCAGTTCACACATGATGAGAGAAAGGACTTTTGCAATGCTCACTCATTTGTGATGCTCACTGAGGTCCACTATGTGCATGATGTATTTATTATGTGTTGTATGTTGTATGTTACTGTTTTCTTTGATTCTGCAGACAAGCCTCTCCTATCCGACAAGGTCACAGTCACAGTCAATGTGTTGGATGTCAACGAGTTCCCTCCGGAGCTTGCCGTTCCCTTTGACACTTTTGTCTGTGAAAATGCAGAAGTAGGCCAGGCATGTACAGTTCCACTGTGAGAAAGGCTGTGTGCGTGCGTGGAGTGCTTGTGTGCACGTGTGCGTGTGTGTGAGAGAGAATGAAAGAGAATAATTGTGATAAATTGTTTCTCCACTTGGTTCTGGGCATATAGTTGAAAGCTCTTTGTGCTTTGCCAGGTAATTCAGACCATCAGTGCTACGGACAAGGATCTTCCCGCTGTTGGACAGAGGTTCTTCTTCAAGTCCCCTAGGGAAATCAGAAACAGGAATTTCACCGTGAGAGACTTTGGAAGTAAGCCATATTTTTTCCCTCCAGAAAAGGGATAAAAGAGAGCAACAGAGATGGAGAGAGAGTAAAGGGGGGAGAGAGTGAGATAGAGAGAGAGACAGACAGAGGAAGAGAGGTGGAGAGAGAGTAAAGGGGGGAGAGAGTAACTGAGATTGGAAGCGTGGAGGTCTTGGTCGGAGCGGTGCGCGTGATTCGGGTGCGAAGCTTCTCGCATCCCCCTTTCTCTCTCCCCCCCCCCGGGGGTTTTGGGGCTGCCTCTTTCCCCCCCCCCCCCCCCCCTTTTTCAAGCTCCCTTGGGAAAAAGGTTCCCGGGAACTTAAGGCATTTTTTTCCCTCCAAAAAGGGATAAAAGAGAAACAAAATTTAAAACGGGGAGAGAGAGGGGAAAGGGTAAGCAATTTGGTTCCCCGAAGGATTTTAGTGGGAAGATGGAGGGGTAGAAAGGAGGGCCCCTTTTCCGCCCCGCTCGGCGCTCCTTCCTTTTGCGCTCTTACTGTCCCTCGCTCCTTCCTGCTGCGGCGCTCGCGCCGCGCTCGTCCTGTGGTTTCCTCGGCTCGCCTCGTCCCTTCTCTCTCGCCGTTCCCGCTTTCCTTCCACCTCTCTTCTCTCTCCCCCTCCCTTGCTCGGGTCGCTCTTCCCGTCGCTCTTCTCTTTCCTCTCTGCTCCTCTCTCTCCTTTCCCTGTCCTTTGGCCCGCGCGCTCGGCGCTCTCTCTCTCTCTCCTTGTCGCTCTCCCTTTTCGTTTCTTTCTCGCTCCTCCCCCCTCCTCTCGCTCTCCTCTTTTGTCCTCCTCGTTTTTCTCTTTTTCCCGCCCTTTTGCTCCTTTGCGTCCGGTCTTGCGGTCGCCTTCGCTGGGGGGTCGCTCTCTTGTTGCTCTCCCCTCCCTTTTCTCTTTTCCCGCCCCCCTCTCCTTCCTCTCCGCCTTTTCCCTTCCCCCCTCTCTGGCCCCCCCCCCCGTCCTTTTTTCTCTCCTCCCTTTGGGGCCCTTGCGCGCTCCCTCCTCTCTTTCTCGTCTCTTCCCTTCCCCGCTCCTTCTCCGCTCCCTCTCTCTCGCTCTCTTCGTCCCCGTCCGGGTCGCTTCTCGCGCGCTCGCGGCGCGCTCGCGGTGCGTCCGTCCTCCCCTTTCCCTCGCCTCGCCGCGCTCCCCTCCGCTTCGCGCTCGCTCTCCCCCTTCCCCTTTTCCTCCGTTTTCGCCTCTCTCCCTCCCTCCCCCCTGCTCGTCTTCTCTCTTCTCTCTCTCTCTCATCTCTCTCGCTCTCTCTCTACTCTCTTCGCTCGCTCTACTCGCTCTCCTCCTTTCCTCTTTTGAATAGTTGTGGCATGTTCAGTAAGGATATTTTTGTAGAAAATGTCTGTATATAATAATATACAGAGACTATCTGTTATGATGCAGTGCCAGTGACTCACTGCAAATCTGTTTTCTTGATACTAGCTCCCTACAATATCCACTAACAATTGGTATTGAATGAATACATGTTTAGAGTTGTTGTCACAACCCAGGGGATGTCAGGCGCTGCAGCCCAACAAGCCCCCCAAAGGAAATTATCTATAAAACAGCAACATTTTCTCTCAGCCTCATGGCAAAATGTGTAAAATAGCTTGAAATTAGCTATGAAACTGCACATTTCCTTTTTCGAAATATACTTTAAAATGACTCAAATCAAATCGAAACAGTGTAGAAATGATAATGGACCCACATTCAAACAGTTTGTAGATTGTGCCCAGCTTGCTAATAATCATAGAAATGAAAGCTAGACATAGAAAATTCCCAAAACGATGGATAGAGGACTATTTTTTGCCAATTTTGACGCCAAGGAAATACAACAAATTGCCAATTTTGACACTGAGGAAATACAACAAATGTTCAATGCGACCCTCCGGACCTCATTGAAGACCAAATGCGGCCCCCGGGGCAAAATGAGTTTGACACCCCTGCCCTAAAGCCTTACCATCTCACCAGCCTCTGTTAGTTATGCGTTATTGTGTTAGAAAAATGCTATCAGGCCTGATACAGAGGGACAGCAGCGCTCATGGCAATCTCAGAAAACAGGCACAAGGTGTGCTTTAATGGCTCCTACCTTGTCAAGTGAGATCTTTGTCCAGCCATGCAGAGGGAAGGCTGTGCAAAGTCAGTTCACCATCACTATCCTGGTGCTGGAGAGGAGAGGAGGCAGGGCACATCTCGACACTTCGTCTCTGTATAGCCGTATAAACGCCAGGCCTGTGTTTGTTTCACAGAGCTGTGCATTGTGCTGCTGGCCCTATTTGTTTTCTTTTGTACATTCTAAGTGCACACCTTCACCTTATTTCAAATAAGGCGAAAAGCAAAAGCAGTAAAAGTGACATTTCAGATACAATTCAAGATCTCCCCTGAAGAAAAATCGGGCTTGATAAAGGTTGGGCTGAGACATAAGCAAATGCATGTAGCCCAAGACCGGCAGCGATGTAGATCTTTAGTACAGGTCCTATATTCCTCCTGGAACTAAGAGGATTAAGTAATATGTATGTAGATGCATGTATGTACTCTCAGTTGCATCACAGGTGAACACTCTCTGATGGTCTCTCATTTGATTTTCAGACAACACTGCGGGGATCGTGACCAGTCAGACGTATAGGATTCCAGTCAGACAATTAGAGTTAATGGTTAATGGACGTGTAGGGTTCCAGTCATGTTGGGTTAATGGTTGTCATTTGGTTTCCAGACAACACTGCGGGAATAGTGACCAAATGTCTAGGGTTCCAGGATTGATTTATTGAGTGATTGATTTGAGACATGTATGGTTAAAGATTGTGTCATTTGGTTTCCAGATAACACGGCAGAGATAGTGACCAAGCGTGTGGGGTTCCAGAGGCGGGTCCAGGAGTACTACTTGATGCCTGTGTTGGTGGAGGACAATGGGTACCCAGCCCAGAGCACTACCGGCACCCTCACAATCCGAGTGTGTGCCTGTGAGACTGACGGATCACTCCTGTCCTGCACGGCAGAGGCAGTCTTCCTACCAATGGGCCTCAGCACCGGGGCAGTGATGGCCATTTTACTGTGCATGGTCATACTTCTGGGTAAGTCCTGTCTATCATTCAGACTGCGATCCTGCTGCAGAAACACAGTATTTCTGAACTTTTCATCTGACACCTTCAGAATGAGAGTAATAATGATTGCCCCAAGACTCTGTAAATGCACATTATTATAATGTTAAAGTGTATAATTTTACACTAGGGGGAGCTGAAGTCCTAAAGTACAGTAATATCATTAAATGTATGTCACAATTTGAAAAATGGCCCTTGAAACAGTCCCATAATCATATTCATACTTATAGGTTGATTTAGCTCACTTATCTTGGTCTGGTCATTCACCCCTACTTTTTCCTACTAAAGTATAATCTCTTGCTGTTGCATAACACAGTGAGCACTTCAGTAGTATGGATTAGGCTGCTGTGCTGTATTCTCTACTGTCTGCCATTGGGAGGGAGGAAGACGGAGATGAAAGCCAGGTGAAACAGCCTTTCATCCTGTCTGAGTACTGCAATAGTGACAGATAGCATGTCAGAAATAGATCACGGCTGGCCTCAGGCTGTGATACTTTTACGTTATCCTGCTGAAGAAATAATGTCTGGAGAAAATAGGAAATTAGCTAATGGCTCCTAACACATGACATCCCACTGTCTCTCTTCCCACTACAGTACCTTGAAAGGCTCTTGAAAAGCACATCAATGTAAATTTTCACTGCAGTACATCTATGTATGTAAAAGATAACACACTCTGTGTGCTTGGTTCTTTTATGTTGTAGTGATCTTCGTACTCTATGTCGGCCTGAGACGGCAGAAGAAGAGAGAGACGTTGATGTCGTCCAAGGAGGACATCCGGGACAACGTGATCCACTACGATGACGAGGGGGGCGGCGAGGAGGACACCCACGCCTTCGACATGGGCACCCTGAGGAACACCAAGGCCATCAAGGAAAAAATGCTCCGCAGGGGCACAGGGTCAGAGGTCACCACCCAAACTGAGATCAATGAGTCGACCCCCACCACAGAGGGCAGCGCGGAAGTCATCAGGGACTACATCCACCAGCGTCTTCAGGAGAACCACCTGGGTTTCTCTGCTCCGCCGTATGACTCACTGGTCACGTATGCCTACGAGGGGGATGGGTCGGTGGCCGAGTCGCTAAGCTCCATCGAGTCATGGATGGCAGAAGGTGGAGAGGACTTCAAAAACCTCAGCGAGTGTGGGCCGCCCTTTAAAACTCTGGCGGGGATATTAGACAAAGACAAAGCAGATCCTCCCACGGCGGAAGTGGAGGAGAGCTGAGAGTACTTGTGAAGACAAGTATGGCAGAAAAGACTACTATTTTACTTTTATAGTAGATTTTTTAAAAAGACAATGGGAATAAAATCAAGCCTTTCAGTTAAGTTTTGATCATATTTTGTGGTGGTTGTTATTGTTATTCATTTAGAAGGCAGAACATTTGAAATGTGTTATTAAAATAAACTTGATAAGCCTCTCAAAGTGCCTCAGGAACTGTTCTGTTTTCATCCAACTAAACGTTTTTGTCCGAATAACCAGTCTACAAAATGTATTTTATAAAAAGTATATTTAAAAGAGCCCCCTTCATCCATGCTCACACAATTGTGCTAAACTTGGCCTTTAGACAATAAACCTTCAAAAGCATGCAATTGTGAACTACAGTACTGTACAATAAACTTAATAAAACCCTTTTCCTTGGTTTCTGATGACCTAGCTCAAATTGAAGGCAGTGCAATAGGCAAATTGTTTCTGTCGAAAACAAGACCCAACCAATGGGACTTGTTTGCCTTTTTCGTCAGTGAGGAGCTACACGTTATCATCCCCTTCTATTCTTGTCAAATTAAATGTCAAGTGATTTTTAAATGTCAACTGCAGTGGCATCTTTTATTGTTAAGCGATTATTGTGTTAATCCTGTTAAAGACCATGCAGATAAGACGATATCTGGATAAATACAAGCTTTCTAGTTAAACATACTCAAACTGCATTAAGCAGTCAGATGTTTACATCTCGTACATTTACTTTACAGCAAGTCAACAGGGTAAGATCAGACAGTTTCAGTGCATAATTTGATTTGTTCATCTACTGTACAGTATGTTTAACCTTTTCAATGTAGGCCTGTGTTGATCTACCTAAACGCATACATTAACAGAACATCATGTTTCCTTTTGAGTTTTGTTTCATAGCATCTCCCATGTTGTTATAATACCAAACACACACTCCTTGAGTAGGCAAGTGATAAACAGTTGATTATTTTTCTAACATGCATTAGCATGTGTTTAATTTGTTAAAGTAAGCAAATAGATTGTGAACCTACACAGTGTACAAAACATTAGGAACACCTTCCAAATATTTAGTTGCACCCTTTTTAGCCCTCAGAACAGCCTCAATTAGTCGGTGCATGGACTACAAGGTGTCGAAAGCGTTCTACAGGGATGCTGGCCCATGTTGACTCTAATGCTTCCCACAGTTGTGTCAAGTTGGCTGGATGTCCTTTGGGTGGTGGGTCATTCTTGATACATACGGGAAACTGTTGAGCATGAAAAATCAGCAGCATTGCAGTTCTTGACACACGCCAGTCACGTACTACCCCGTTCAAAGACACATACATCTTTTGTCTTGCCCATTCACCCTTTGAATGGTATACATACACAATCCATGTCTCAAATGTCTGAAGACTTAAAAATCCTTCTTTAACCTGTCTCCTCCCCTTCATCTACACTGATTGAAATGGATTTAACAGGCAACATCAATAAGGGATCAGATCTTTCACCTGGATTCACCTGGTCAGTCTATGTCAGGGTTCTTCAATTCCGGTCCTGGAGGGCCGAAACACCTCTGTTTTTCATCCTCTCCTTCTAATCAGGGGCTAATTCAGACATGGGACACCAGGTGAGTGCAATTAACTACCAGGTAGAAATAAAAAACAGAAGTGTTTCGGCCCTCCAGGACCGGAATTGAAGAACCCTGGTCTATGTCATGGAAAGAGGAGGTGTTCCTAATGTTTTGTGCATTAGTCGCACCTTGAAGGTGACATAAAACGATTTACAGTAATCCCTTTTTTATTGTGCTGGTAAAAGCAAGATGGATGATTTGTAAGTGTGTGGCTCAACAAAAATCCAATATCCACACACAGCGTATTTATTCTACTCCCAGAGAGCAACATGACATGTTGACCCTAATCAACATTTCATCAAACTAAATCACTGTTATGTTATTCACATATACAGCAGTAACCCACAGCCCCCAGGCCAGAGGCACCCACACCTCTAGAAGTGAGAACATGGATGAAGACATCATCATCAGGCTGCTGAGCTACCGGTACCCCACACTGCATAACATTATGTTCCTTGCTCACATGCTGGGGACTAAATTGACCATTCTAATTCAGTGCAAAGACATTGACTGTGGCTATTTTAGAAAATCCCATTTTCCCCAACACTATACCACGAGCAGAGGTCTAGAATTACTTTGTTTTATTCAGGCAGTTGAAATTGCATTTTCTGAGGAATTCCCTTCTCTATGCTTAAATGGATAGATCATAAAAAGTTCCTCTTTGATGCATCCTCCAAGATCCTAATTACATATGTGCTTTCTTTCTCTTTCTCCACAAAACTACTTATTTTGTCCACTTGTTGGCAAACTGTCATTTCCATTGCATAACAAGCACAACATCAACATTCTTATTTTAACTACATAGCTTTATGAGAATAATTATGGAAATCAGGGGCTGGATCTTGGCACCTTAAAGTTATCTTGTGAAGATGACTATCGCATGTTGACTCAATTTAGAGCTGTGAGATATACGGTTAATTGGGGGGGAAAGCTGTGTATCTCTTGGGGTTCCTACTTTTTAATACTTAATTTCCACATGGATAATTCACTATCTGATAACATATCTGGAAATACTGCAGCCTTAAATATATGAACAGTTGTGTAATATCTTAGTGCTGTAAGTATTTGTAATTGTTAATGCTATTTCATAAACTGAAGAACCCTTCAATACTCCTTCAAGGTTATTTTCAGAGATTTCAACTAATAATGATTACATTCAGGTCAAATCATGTTACTCTACTGTATTAGATTTTTGAACAAAAATGATGACCCAGACAAGACATTGATTAAGTGCTTTTAGATGTGCATATGCTACAGTACACATACACAGTAGCCTATACTCCCATTAAAATCCTTTCCCCATTCTTCTGCCAACTAGGCTACACAAGCAGCCTACAATGAATCTGCATACAACACAAGTCAAGTATATAATTTGTAGCTTCAAGGGGGAAGTATTGTACTTTGTCGAGACAAAAAAGGGCGAATGATAAACCACCTCAGTTTGAAAAACAGGATTTAGAAAATGTATTGATGTGCCTTCTTTTGATTTGTTATGTATTCATGGAGGTAGCAGAGGAAGTCAGACTCAAGTGAAAATAAAACAAACCGGAGACAATCATAGCCTCTTAAGGATCAATTTTCGCCTAAAATACCCAAATCTAACTGCCTGTAGCTCAGGACCTGACGCGAGGACATGCATATTCTTGGTATCATTTGAAAGGAAACACTTTGAAGTTTGTGGAAATGTGAAATTAATTTAGGAGAATATAACACATTAGATCTGGTAAAAGATAATACAAACAAATAAACATGCCTTTTCTGTTTTTTGTTGCATCAGCTTTGAAAGGCCAGAGAGTGATGTAGGAATCTAGGTGTAATTTAGATTTTGTCCACAAGATGGGAGCATTGTGTGTGCAACGTTTCAGACTGATCCAGTGAAGGACTACATCGCTACACAATATTTTGTATCAAGTCTGCCAGGAGTTTTCCAAAATGTTCCAAATTGGTCAATTTATACATTTTCATATGAATATAAAAATGGATTTTATCTAACAAAACTATGCCACATTTTATCTCTGGGACCCTCGGGATGACAAATCAGAGCAAGATTACTGAATGTAAGAACATTATTTACCTTCGGAGGTGAATGTATCAAACCAGTTGCCGTGACAAAAGTGTTTTGTTGTTGTGCACTATCCTCAAACAATAGCATGGTATGTTTTAGCTGTAATAGCTACTGTAAATTGGACACTGCAGTTGGATTAAAAATCATTTCAGATTTCTGCCCATATAAGACATGTCTATGTCCCGGAAAGTTGGCTGTTGTTTACAACGCCATTCTAGTCACATATCGCATATTGAGCAGCAACCGTCCCGGTTTAGGGACACCGACCCTGTAGAGGATAGTATTGAGTTTTACTCCTGCTGTTTTCAACCACCTTTAGCTTGTTCATGGGTAAACAATTATGAAGAGCGTGAGACGCATCAATGTTTGCATGGGCTTATTATTATACTTATCTACATTTCTACGTGACCTGAAGGCACATAGTGGGGAGTTACATTCTGTTTTGTATCAAACGGTGAAGGATTTCAAGACTATTTTCCCCAAGGAAGACTACCGTATTCCCTAATGAAGGTGCCAGTCAGTCCCCTTCCCACCCTTTGCATTGTAAATTGATTTTTCTAGATGCTCATATGCATAAATTTGAGCGGTCTCAATGTTATACATGCTGCAGTTTTTTTTTGGGGGGGGGGGGGAGATGGGGAATACAGTGTGTGTGTCACTCTGCCAAATGTCTAATTGGTGTAATGTAATCCAATCAGTACAGTAGCAGCAGCCTTATATTGATTGTCTTGTTAAATCGAGTCCTATTACAGTTTTTTTTATTCGCTTTGGGACTATTTTCACAAGTATGTGGTGAATTTAAAAAAACTCTTAGTACAAACTGGAAACACTTGTAACGCAGCCAGTCTTACATTCAAAACCTTTAATTGTGCATTCATTTTGTTTGTAGACATATTTCACCACACAACCATTGATCCAAAATATAAGTTTAATGTGAAATATAATAACTACATTGGTTTAATACTACATTGGTTTAATCACCAAAACACAACATAATGATACTGTGTCTTCTCATTTTAGTTATTTTAATAACCAGCTAATCCAATAGCAAAACATGTTTCAAAATTGCCCTTTGAATGTAGTATGATACAGTACTGTAACTTACAGTACATTACACTGTTTTCACATTAGGCAATACACTTGCACTACCCATTAAAAATGAGTGAACTTCAAATTTCCATAATGTCTATCCCATGTGTGATCAAAGGTATTATCATCTTTCACAGTGTAATGAAACTAAGGAAATTAAAGAAACATAATATTTAGCAGGCACTAGTTTGCATCAAGCCTGTCTTGAGCATTTGGCCATAGGTTCTCATCAGAATCGGAGTAAATATCTTCATTGTTCATGCACCTGGAGAAAAACGTTTTGGTATGTCGAAGCCATGCCTGACATACAGTAGGTCTGGATTGAA